TTGGCTCTGCCTCTGTGCCCTGCTGGTATCCTGTAGGTAGAGATGAGCGAGGTATGTAGCAAGTGTGCGTACAAAATTTTAAACCGATAACCGGAAAGAAGGAGACTGCTTGGAGGATATGGAGGAATGGAGAGACTAATATTAAAATGGACATTAGCTAAACAAGGCATGAGGGCGTTGACTGGATATATCTGGCACAGGCTAGTGTTGCTATTCATCTTTCGGGCTCTTGTGAACACGGTGAGGGACCCTCTGGTTCTTTAAAAGGCTGAAAAAGTTGTGTGAGATAAGTTTAGTGCATTGGACAAAAGTGACTGCTATTTGTGAACACGTTAAGAATCTTGAAAGGGCATACTTTGGAAACGAAGCCTTTGAAAATGCTTGGATATTGGGGTACCTCAAATTAGGCCACGACCGTTTTCATATGCGTCTTTTCTTTGGTCATTCATTAATCTGCATCATCCGAACATTCACCGCGATATAGGCCGAGTTATTGATAACGTTAAAGAAACTACCAACACACATAATTCCTCTTATATGTGACGTCTCCCAGAAGCAAAGCTACATTGAACACGGTGAATCCTTACCCACTGCTGAAGGCAGGGACAAAAGTGAACAGGATGCAAAGAATGGTTAGGCCTGCCACATTGTGTACAAGGGCATATGAATAGGTCACTCATCAGTGGCTTCCAGTTGCTTGCTAGACTAGATAACCAACCACCGTGCGGTACTTGCAGTGTGGATATAATTGCACGATGAGCATGTAGTTGCGTAATAAACTCCTTACTAAACTATCTGATTTATGTGGTATTTGTTAGTTTTGAAACTTTGTATAGGTATACGTTGTATGGGGGAAGGAGAAGAGAGAGAAAGTGATGGAGGGGGCGGATAATTTGGCCCATATTTAACTTTTTGTTACACACAGGATGTCATATTGGCAGAGTGTAGTAAATAATTGTTGTATACTTTTTCCTTTCCGAACATTCAAAGGACTCTCGTTTTGAGTGTTGTGGATTTCCTGCATTGCATTGTGGAGCTGGACATATTGCTGTCACTTACTTCAAATGGAATCTTTATCTGTTACTTACCTTGTTTTATTTAAGAAAACTTGAAGTGAAGAAACTGCTGCGGAGATCTAAGCGTATGATGAAAGATAATATTGTCACGATTTTAGTGATTGTAGACGGGGTTTTGATTGGTAATAAGATTTATTGCACGCGTATACTACCACACTTCACAAATCACTATAGGACACATAATGTCTTCTCAGTCTGTTGCAGTCATCACTAGCCGTCCATGGGTAGCGGCTTCCAGTGCCGGATGGTCCCCTTCCTCTGGGTTCCCGAACTGTCCCCGGCCTCAGCTGTCAACTTCAAATAGTGTCAGCTCAAAACAACTTAATCCCAGCGGTTATCTAACTAACTACAGCTCCTGAATTGTGCTGCTCGTTTACATCTCGGCACGGACCACACAGAAAACACCGTTTCTTCGTGGCAGTTTACGGGCATTTGCTTAATAATGGTCGTTGTGTAGTTGCTTATTTCGCGGTCGTTACCTAGCAACGGGTCTGCATGCCAATATATTAAAATAAACATTCAAGAAATAGGCAGTGAGGATGTAGACTTGACTCATCTGCCTTAGAACAGGGTCCAGTGGCTGCCTGTTGTGAATGCGGTAATAAACCTTCGGGTTCCATAAAAGGCGAGGAATTTATTGACTAACTGAACGACTCTTACTGTCCCAAGGACTTTACTCCATGGCGTTCGTTGTTTCATCATGAAATGGTTCTTAAGGTATAATGAAAAACCACTGTATTAGTGCCCTTTTGCGAAAAAGCGTCCCGCTAAGTGTATTAAGTGATTTAACTAAAGGAGTTACATACAAAATTTTAATCGATTTTCGAGTTTTGGCATGCGTACAGAGGGAGTAATGGACGGGGCAAATTTAATAGACGCGCTTCAGGGTTATGTGGCATCTAAAAAAATACCTATTTTATTTGCACATTAGTTTCCGATAGATTTATTTCTTTTATTTTAGCGATAGATTTATTTCTTTTATTTTAGCGGCATGTCTGTGAAGTTCGTGGAAACTGTTGGAATTACTGATGTATGCTGCTTGGTCTTGCATTCAGTAGTGATCAGATGCAACTCAAAACCATACGAGAAAGGAATGTTCTAACGTGTTTCTGGCTTCTGGGGCCTGCAGTAGTCTGACATTCGTAACTCACAAGTAACAAGACAGAGTGGGTTGCCAGGAACTGGCACATTAGAAAATGGCGTCTTCAGTTGCGTTGTTCTAGACATGGAGTTCCTTAAAGCTAAGAATCTCGACAGGTAAACGAGATTGGTTTTGGGGACTTGGCATTACTATCTCATCGGAATCAGACGCCATTTCTATACGTTCTGCCAAATTCCAAATTAATTAAACTTCGCAGACATTTAGGACTACTACCACAGTACAGCTCGTCAAATATAATTGATTATATATATTGATTAAGTCAAGGAGGGTGAATGAGCAGGGAATATAGCACGCACGGAAGCTAAGCGGAAAACTAAAAGGAAAGACCACTAGGAATGTCTAACCGTAGATGGGAGGATAATATTAAAATGTATCTTAGCGAAATGGGATGGGAGATATGGTCTGAATTCATCTGACAGGGTAGAGACCAGTGACGGGCTCTTGTGAGCACAGTTGTGAACCCTCGGATTCCTTAAAATGTTGGAAATTTCTTGAGCGACTTGTAGCTTCCAATGAAGTACTCCACTCCTTGGAGTTAGTGAAACTATATTGGGCATGATACGAGTCAGGCACCTAAATGAAGTGATTTCGAGCATCACTAACAAGAAGGTGAAGTGAAACTTCATTTACGACGTAATTTGTGTGAATCTGATTTACGTCATACTTCGTGGGGAGTTACTTGGAACGGTCAGTAACAAAGTACATCTACCAGAAAAGTGAACAACAGCAGCGTGTGTTAAAAATAAAATGTGTTTACCACTTGAAGTTGTGATTTATTCAGCGTAATATTGCAGATTCACAGCCTCGAGTTGTCACCAGTCCAAACACAAGCCTAACGTGAGACCTGAATTAATGTCTGGCAATTCTAACGACTACGTACAGAGAGGCAGGGAGGAACCTGTTGTACCTGCACCCTTGAGAAGTCCTCTGGGGCCACCCTGAACACCTTTTCCTTTCATATTAATGACATTCCACTTATTTGGTTCTGTTACGTAACCTGAAGTTCATAGTTGCTTGCCGGCTGCGAGTTGGAGTGAGTAATTGGCGACAGTTACTACGCACCTTGAAGGCATGTAAATATTTTGGCATGTTGTCTATGGAGTATGATTATCTTAGACCTCTTTGCTGTGGTTTAAATGAATACTATAAATATTCGAAGTCCTTGCGAATAGTCGGGACCACGGTGAGCCTAAATGCTGCCCCAGTAGACGGGACAACCTTCCCCCCAATTGGAAACAGCTGTAGTTTTTCGAAGCGTAGTCACAATAACATGACATTCCCAGATGCCGGCGAAAACAGACAATGGTGTCATACTTCTTAAAACAGCATTATTTGCATCGTTGCATAACATGGTCACTAATGAACATAAAGGCAACATGAATGAATTTTTAACGAGAAATCAGAAGTGGTGTGTGTTTGTAAAATGTGCCGCCCCTAAAATCGTGCTGCCAGAGGCGGCCGCTTCGTTCTCGTATGTGTTTTCAGGCTAACTGTGCTGTTCGGACAACTAGCCTCATAAATCTTACCCGGCGGTTGAGGTCGGATGTCACTTGCGAGTTTATTAAGTAGCATGTTTGTAACGCAGAGTGCTTCGGGAAATAGTCTTCGAGTTTGTTTTATGTGATTGATAGATGTGACGTACAGAACTGTAAATATAGGCCACTCGTGTCATTTATAAATAAAGAAAAATACGTGCAAAAATGACACGAATTCCAAGCAATTTTTTTTTTCGAGTGAATCTGGCGCGTCTTATTTCTCAATTTATTTAAGGACGCCTCTTCAGCTGCGTGGGGATAGGCTGTAGTTCAAACGAGAGAGTGATTTTGAATGATGACTCGAGAAATATTTAGAAGGAACGAGCCTTGGACAATTTTTATGCACGATTCCGGCATTTTATCTTGAGGGATTAAATAAAGGGTTAGAAAAAATAGTGTTTCATATCTAGAACAGGAACACGGAATCTCCCGAATACGAAACAAGAACGCAAACTACCCGACCTCTGCATTCGGTTGTTCACATCCGTGTCTATAAACGTCCACAAATAATGTATTGCATTATTACGTGTAACTAGAAGAGGGAGTCTCGCGAGACAGTTAGGCCGGGTCGATTCATAACGCGCAGTTTCGGTTCGTGGCTGGGGTGTCTAAGCAAATGTACTTGCTAAGGACCAGATATACATACAAGTAGATTGTTAAGGGTTCTGACGATGGTGTATAACACCCAAAATTACTGGGGTTTTGGACTTAGTCCATCATCATGTGTTTTAGAAAATAGAGAGCACAACGCTTCGGAAACTGGATGTTTCCGTCCTCAAATGAGAGGGGAAAGGGGTGGGGGAAACACCTACTCAGTTGGGTCCCTTAGAATGAACTAACCTCTGTCAGCTGTAGTGAATTTGACGGGTTGTCCAATGATTGAGGCTGTAAAGGACCCAACTCAGTAGGTATCTTGTCGCTCTCATGTAAGGACGGAAACAGACCCAGTTTCCGAAACGTTGTTTTCTATTTTCTGGAATACCGGACGATGAATAAAGTCCAAAAACCCAGTAATTCTGAGATATATAAGCTCACAAAAATCACGCGGCAATTCAAAATGTCATTTCAAACAAACTGGACAAACGTCTTCTACTGAGTTAGTCAGTTGATGGGTATTTGATTAGGTATAGAAATTTTTAAGAATTTGTACTTGATGGAGGCTATGTTACTTCCACTGATATAGAACACGAATCTTGATGTATTAAACAATACATTGTTCTTTTGCAGATCCAAGGAGACTGACCGCACACTAAGATGGCCAATTACTTCGCGTGCATGTGCCTGATGAGGATTGTACTGCCGCTCAGCCTATCCTTGAGTGAGTACAGCAAATCCCCAAATCCCGCCCCACATGGGTACCGTCACCTTCAAGTGGAAAGGTTGCCAGTGTTCTTATTAATTAACGCCAGCTAGTGCAGAGGCGCACATGGAAGCACTATCAGGGTGGTATAATGGGTGAACAGCTCTCAGGAAGTAGAATCCATGGAGAAGGTAGACGTTAGATGTATGGTGGAAAGTGGCCGAGGAGCTGAAAAACGAGAATCGTCGTTACGTGACGCAGAACAGAGAAAACGTAAATTCCTCTAATTTAGGTCACTGTATTAAACACTGTAGGTAAATCACATAATCCGGTAGGTAACACTGAATGGTGCCACGATACTTGTTAGCATACACATATTACCACTTCGTAGAACGAATTCTAACCTTCATCCATGTTAGTTCATGCAGTGTGTGCTTGTATTTCGTAGAAATAATTATCGTCTCTAGACACTGCTAATATAGACGTTAAGAAGGTAGGCCTAACAGAAATTGTCGCAATTCAGCTTAGGATAAGTTATTGTTTAAAATTATGTAAATAATTTCAGGTATATGTGAACTTAGTTTCAAAGGTTTTCCACGTTGTATTCAAGTTCGAGTAATACTGTTTCGTTTTAATACAGTTAACTGATTTAGACCGATTCACCTTGAATGTGGAGTGCATTTCTGGAAGTCAAGGCCAGTCTCTTCCCAGCAAAAAAAAAAAAAAAAAAAAAAAAAAAAAAAAAAAAAAAAAAAAAAAAAAAAATCGAATTCGGTACGTACAGGAAGAAAGAACGGACGACATCGCCATACTCGTATATTAAAGTGACTTCGAGCGGCCAGCAGAAACATCTTTCCTTTGGATAGAAAAGCGCAAGCTTGAACTGAAGCGGCACTAGGAAAATAACAGATGTCTTGTTTCCCAGCGGGGTCAGGCTCGAATTTCGGACGGCAGGAGGGCTGTTCTGAAGATTTTGTGACCGTTACGGGTTCCTCGAGGCTTCCTTACTTACTTACTCTTGGAGATGAGCCCTTCTGGAGGAGCCGCCAATTCTGCAGCTACTCAAGAATTTCCCAGCATTTTATGGAACCCGAACGTTCATTACCGTGTTCACAAGAGCCTTCCACCGGTCCCTATCCTGAGCCAGATCCATCCAATCCATACCATCCCATCCTATCTCTCTAAGATACATTTTAATATTGTCCACCCACCTACGCCTTGGTCTTCCCTGTGGTCTCTTTCCGTCTGGCTTTCCCACCAATATCCTATACGCATTCCTCTTCTCCCCCATTCGTGCTACATGCCCTGTCCACCTCATCCTCCTTGACTTGATCATTCTAATTATACTTGGAGAAGAGTATAAGTTATGAAGCGCCNCTATATTTTTGGACAACAGACGAGAAGACAAAATGTTCTAGACCGAATGGTAGCAAGCATTGCCCGAGTTCAATCTCCTCTTAATTTCCTCCTGAATGACATTTCGATCTGTTATCGTTTTTCCCAAATATCTGAATTGTGCCACATTTTAAAAACATCTTTTTTTTTTATATATATATTTATTAGCAATCAGAATAAAATACATTCTTTTAGCTAATTTGCTAATTTAAACACCGTCCTCGTGTGCTTATTGTGTCGTGATGAGGGCTCCTCCAATGAGAGATCCTCTAACCATCAAGTAGATCTGCGGGCCATAATTTCTTTAGCCTTCTTCGTTGTTGTTGTTCCAGTAGGGGCTGCAGTAATGTATTGCTATGGTGTCCTAGTTTATCGTGATGTTTTATGCTTCTTTCTTGGATGACTTCTTTGACGAATGGTACATTGAGATCGTCATGTAGGGTCTGATTTGACACATACCAAGGTGCATTTGTGATCATCCGCAGTATTTTGGACTGTCTTCGTTGCATTATGGCTATGTTCGATTTACTGGCGCATCCCCATAGTTCGATTCCATAGGTCCAAATAGGCTTTATGATGGTCTTGTATAGAAGTACTTTACTATCTAGCGATGTGCTGGATTTACTTCCAATGATCCAATGTATGTCTTTTACTTTTAGGTCTACCTGTTTCCTTTTTTTGGTTATATGCTGCTTCCAAGTAAGCCTGGAATCCAGGTGTAGTCCAAGATACTTTACTGTTGATGATTGTGGAATTTCAGTATTATTTATGTGTACGGCTGGGCACTGCTCTTTTCTCATTGTGAAGGTGACCTGTACAGATTTGGTTTCATTAATGTGGATTCGCCACTTTTTTAGCCAACTTTCTACTTGGTCTAGATGACTTTGTAGTCTTTGCGAGGCAGTTGCTGGATCATCATGGCTGGCAAGAATGACCGTGTCATCAGCAAATGTCCCTGTTGTAGTGTAAGTAGTCGTTGGTAGATCTGTTGTGAATAGCACGTATAATATCGGGCCTAAAACGCTCCCTTGTGGGACTCCAGATTGGATGATGAAGTTGCTGGATACCTCCTCCTTAACTCGTGTTCGGAATTTTCGGTCAGATAGATATGACTTGAGTAGTCTAAAGTATTTTATAGGAAGCACCTTTTTTATCTTGAATAGGAGTCCATCATGCCAAACCTTGTCAAAGGCTTGGCTTACGTCTATAAATATTGACGTGCAGTACTGTTTGTCTTCTAATGCTTGATTAATTTTATGGATGATTCTATGTGTTTGTTGTATTGTAGAGTGATGATTCCTAAATCCGAATTGGTGTGGAGGCATCCATTCATCTGGCTTTAGGTCCATATTTAGTCTCCGAAGTAAAAGCTTCTCAAATAATTTGTTTATTATGGACAGTAGGCTTATTGGACGATACGAAGATAATTCTTTTGGGTCTTTTCCTGGTTTTGGTATCAAGATAATTTCTGCTGTCTTTAATTGTTTGGGCCAAATACTAAGTCTTAGCATAGCATTATAGATGTATGTTAGCATGACTAATCCCTTTTTTGGCAACTCTTTCATCATTTTAGGTGTGATTTTGTCGATACCAGGTGCTTTTTTGATATTTAAGAACCCAATTTCTTCTTTGATTTCTTTTGGGCTGAATATTTTTATTGTCGGAATATTTGGCGGTAATGTGGTAATATCGTTCTCAATCTCTTGATCAGGATGACTGGCATTTGGCATAAAGACTTTCGATAAATGTGCTGCGAAGAGTTCCGCTTTTTCTTTATCGCTACGAGCCCATCGATCTGGACGACCATCTATCTGGATTTTTAAAGGCGATACAGGAACTATAGGTTTCTTAGTTGACTTCACCGGTGTCCAAATGGAGTTGTCGTAGCGATTGAGGTTTCTGAGGTAATTGTGTAGTGTCAGCTCTCTGGACTTCTTGATTTCTGCTCTTAGCTTATTGGTGGCCCTGTTATACACAGTTCTGTCTGCTGGGGCATGACTTAGTTGCCATGTCTTCCTAGCCCGTCTTTTATCTGCTATAAGTTTTTTGATTTCGGTAGGGATATTTATACTTCTTGTTTGTGTAGTCGGAATTGGAGTGGCGTGTAGAGCTGCTTCTTTAAGAATGTTAATGAAATTTGTCAAGGCTATGTCTAGTTTAAAAACATCTGTTTCCTATCTTTATATCATGATTTTGCCCTGCATTTTTGTGACGAGACAACAACATATACTTAGTTTTCACAGTGTTTACTTCTAGACCAACCTCTTTACTTGCGTCAATTAAAGTTTGTGTGTTTTACTTTATGGCATCTATGTTATCACCCAGTAGATTCACATCATCGGCATAGGCCAACAGCTGATGTGTCCCGTTTAATTTCAGTCCCACCTGGTTTCCCTGGATCTTCCTAATGGCATAATTCTAAAGCAAAGTTGAAAAGGAATGGCGATAAAGCATCTCTTTGTTTTAGACCATTCTGGACAGGAAATTTATCAGACAAATGTTTACCTACACGGACTTTACTATACGTTTCGTTTAAACACGTTTTAATCGACCTAACTAGTTTCATGGGTATCCCAAATCCTGTCAGAATATTGTACAATACTTCCCTCCTAACTGAATCAGGCTTTCTTGAAGTCTGTGAATAGCTGATGTACTATCTCATCGTACTCCCATTTTTTCTCCAATATCTGAGGAATGCAGAAGATCTGATCTGTAGTTGATCTGTTACGTCGAAACCCAGACTGATGATCCCCAATAATTTCANAGAAGTCGGCCGGAGCTAGGTCGGGGCTGTAGGGTAGCTGCGGCAGCTCGTCCGTCAACAATTTAGGGACTAGCTTGGTGCACACCTTTCGCATGTTCAATTCGTCCATAACGATGCGATGCACAATGGTTTTTGGAATGTTCAAAGTGTCAGCTAACAACCGAACAGTCATTCGACGGTCAGTATTCAACAAGTCACGCACACGAGTCACATTTTCATCGCTTTGGCTTGTTGATGGCCGTCCAGAGCGGGAGTCATCTTCCACTCCTTCCTGGCTCTCCTTAAACTTCTTCACCCACCTTGTAACTTGCACATATGATACGGCAGACTCCCCGTAGGCTTGCTTAAGCAGTTCGTGAGTTTCGGCAGCATTTTTGTTGAGCTTTGTGCAGAACTTGACCGCCCAACGTTGTTCGAAAGTATCCGCCATCGCGCGCCGTGACGTGTCACAAAACACAGGTGCACTAAATCAGCGATACCGACGCCTCCGATGCTCGAGCAGACTGACCTTGGGCGCGCTGTGAAGCTAAAGGCCTCCCCCCCAACCCAACCGGTTCCAGCGCGCTCCGACCAGTAGCAGCGCGGGGAAGAAATATGTTTCATGACTTTTGGGACACACCTTGTATATATGGAGGGAGTTAATCTTGAGAGAAGAATATTGGATACAATTTTGTATGAAGTTGATAGCAGTGATATCCCACGATAATTACTACGAGTACTGTCAGTTTTATCATCCTTCTTGTGAACTGGTACAATAATAGACTCCTTCCACTGATTAGGCACTTTTTCCTTGTGCCAAATAGAATTGCATAATTAGCTTGTGGATCTTAGAATTTAATATTTCACCTCCTGCTTGAAT